CTTTAGTGTTTGTTTGGTTGTGTTATCTTTTATCAATTAATAAATTATGTGTGAGTATTAATAATATGTGTAAATGTTTTTGGTAAAGCCTTCTTGTTACGTAGTTTATTGTCCTCGATCTTGTAGTCTTGGGACGTCGTACTATAGGTCCTGATGATAGTTTGTTGTGGTTGTGGGTGGGATTATAAGTGATTGAAAGGATTTGATAATTCACAGGATTGTTCTAGGTGAAACCCATGGTATTCCATTGTGCTGTTGCCGTTGTTAATGTGATGTTAACTTTGCATGATGTAGTCATAAATATTCTATAGTGAAATTCACAATGGCTTTTAAGGTAACAGAGTACAAAAGTTCACTGCTATTTTGGTGTTCAACATTTCTCATTGCAACTCTCTTGTAAGGAATTTAACCCTTGTCACAGTTTTTTGTGTAGCAACAAAGAATGCTCACAATTATCTGAAAAAGCTGTTAAAATCTCTTTCTCTTTCCACAGAGGTCGAATATTGGCAACGAAACTGAATGAAAAAGTAGATATGAGAATGCAGCTGTCTTCTACTAAGCCAGAAGTTAAAGAGAGCTGCAACGATATAAAACAATGCTATTACTTCTATTTTTTTTAACTTGGAATATTTTCATAAAAATATTGATGTTAACATGTAATGGATTTATTAATTTAATATTTTAAAATAATTTCTAAATTAGGAAATACTTCAACCTGTATTGAACATCCCTAATCTGAAAATATGAAATCTGAAATGCTCCCAAATCTGAAACATTTTTCTTTTTAAGAGACAGGGTCTCATTCTGCTGCCCAGACTGCAGTGCAGTGGTACAATCACAGCTCACTGCACCCCTGAACTCCTGGGCTCCAGTGATCCTCCTGCCTCAGCCTCCCAGGTAGTTGAGACTACAGGTGTGTGCCACCACACCCAGCTAATTTTTTTCAGTTTTTGTAGAAATGCGGTCTTGCTACATTGTCCAAGCTAATCTCAAACTCTGGGCCTCAAGTGATCTTCCTGCCTCAGCCTCCCAGAGTGCTAGGATTATAGGGTTGAGCCACCATGCCCAGCCCAAAATTTGAAACTTTTTAAGCACTGACATTATACCACAAGTGGAAAATTTCACACCTGACACCGTTGCTTTGTGATGGTTCAGTGTACAAAAAAAACTCTTTGTCTTATGTATAAAATTATTTAAAATATTATATAAAATTACCTTCAGGCTATGTGTATAAGGCATACATGAAACATAAATGAATTCTGTGTTTAGAATTGGATTCCATATCCTAGATATCTTCTTATGTATATGCAAATATCCCAAAATCCAAAAAAATCTGAAATCCCCAGCATTTTGGAGAAGGGATACTCAACCTGTATTAATAGATTTAACACAATGGAATCCTCAACAATTTTTAAGAGTGTAAATGGGTCCTGAAACCAGAAAATCTGAAAATAACTGGCTTAGGCAAATCATGCAGCTACTTCATGGTTTAATTTTCTGATCCATATCATAGAGCTTTGTGCTCAAACCACCAGGGAAGTTTGTTCAAATTGAATATACTACCTGAGGCTCAGGTCCAGGCTCTCTGAGTATTTCCAGGAACAGAGTATGAACTTTAACAGTGTGAATTTCTATAATCTGATCTAAGTGTCAGTTTTTACTATTCAAAAAAAAGAGTAGAGAAAATTTATAGCAAACCCTTCTTATAGAACACTGATACATCATATTTTTCCATGGTTATCTTCCTTTTAAAATATCAAAACTGTGTTTCAACTTAATTATTTTTTTACTAATAGTTAAAAACAAGAATAAATTTTTAGATGGTTCACTAATTAGAAATGACTCCTTCAAATTTTCCAAAATATACGATAAATACAAGGTATATCACCAAGCCTTAAACACCTTGCAATAACTGATTCCAAAAGTAAATAATGTCCCACACAGGGATGTTCAGATATGCTGAATCAAAGTTAAATTAATCTATTCTAATAACAAAATTCCAGCTCTAATCTGTACCACACACAAAAAAATTCAGTTGCAGTTTGAGGTATCTGTTTAAGAAGTCTGGCTTGCTTCATGTTCCTGGGAAGCTGGTACTTCTGGAAACAAGACCCTTTAAATAAGTTGATTTTTATCCCACTATAACTGGTGTCTTCAACACCTGAACTCTTGCAAAATCCTTTTGAGCAATTTTTCTACTGTAGTCTGCCTTCACATATACATCTATCACTTTTCTTTAATCATATTTGTTGAGTCATGTATGAGTAGCACTAAATGGCAACCAACCCAAATATGTCATCCCATTCTTTAAACAAACCATGAAAAGCCTTATTATGCAGAGATATAATTAAACTTTGGGATTAGAATGTAAATAGGGTGTTATATTCATCACCTGACATGAAAAAGGTCTCCTAGAAATGTGTTCTTCAAGGTACTTTTCTCCCTCATCATCAATTACTCTTTTGAGTTAACCTGAAGCATCTATCTTAAGTAAAAGTAAAATGTATTTTTAAATAACAGCATTTTGAGCGGGACTATGTGCCATTCTCACTCTATCCTATCCATGCTGGCAGAACCAACAGACCAAAGATGTAGCCTAATAGACTGGAGAACAATCTAGGTATTTCCAACTCCCTCATTACTAACAACTAACAGCATTCTCCCTTACTGGATGTACCATGTTGCCCCGAAAATAAGACAGGGTCTTATATTTATTTTTCCTCAACAAGACACCCTAGGGCTTATTTCAAGGGATGTGTTATTTTTTCTAAGTACGGTACAACAATCTCCATTTATTCAAATATAGTTAAGTTGTCTTCTTCTGGAACATCATCATAACTCTTCAAACCCGAATTCCATCCTGAATTTCTTGTGACTCTATTTCCTTTAGAACCATTGGCCCCAATCTCTCATGTTGAGCAATAGAGCTCTCATAGGGCAGATGAGAAGGGTTGCTCATCTTCTTTATCGCTTGACCAAATGCATGGGTTGTGCAGATACGCTGAGTAGCCACGCCCATCACTAGGTCTTATTTTTGGGGCAGAGCTTATATTGTGCAATTGCTTAAAAATCCTGCTAGGGCTTATTTTATGGGTGGGTTTTATTTTCCAAGAAACACGGTACCTCTGGTTTCCCTATATATAACGAGGAAACAAAACCTGGTCTGATTTGCCTTCTAGGATTTTGGAAATGAATTAAATAACAAAGCACACCCTTTCCCTCCGGAACAAACACACAAAAACTTTCAATAGTGTGTTTTAATAATTTATGAAGTGCTTGAGCTCTTGACAACAAACTATTATCAAAGAGTAATTACTCTGGTTTATGTAAGAATTTGGACAGGGCAGTTCTATTCTCACTGTTATCAAAGTGGGATGGAAAGAGATGCTTAAGAACATCTCTACTGGAACGGGTAGATCAAGTGGCAAAGTGAAAATATATTCCCAGATGGCCAAAAATGTTAAATCGTTGAAGATAATCCATAGACTGTCTCCACAGATGTCAGAGAGAGACGGAGACAGACACGCCCTGGAAAGAAGCCCTTCTGGGAAAACGGAGAGGCATGGAATAACCTCTGGTTCAAGAAAATCCGTGAGAATAGGGGAAAGCTAATGGGAAGGAGAACTGCAATCGAAGAATCCATGGTTCTTTTTGTATTGCACACGTCCCCACCGGCCGGCCAGCTTACAAACAACTGCAAGAACTGGAGGCAGGGCCCTTACTGCTGCTGTTCAGATTACTGAGTTCACTGATATTCTGCAAATTATTGGTCAGAGAGTTAGAGTCCCCCTTTCCCCGGTATCATAAATCCTCCAGTTCCTCACACCAATGTTCTCAGCCCACGGGGGCGCAGCACTTGGCCCCTGCTCCACGCCGCCCCCTAGTGGTCACCTCTGCGGCCTCGGCTTCCCTTGGTCCAGCTCCCCAGCCCCAGGTCTTACACCCACCCCTTTCTTCACCTTCCAATCCCCTCCCCTTCCTCCCGAAAGCATCCCCTTCCTCTCCGTCCCCCTACCCCAGCTGCCCCCGCTTCGGTGAAGGGGCGCCGCTCGGTACGCACCCCGAAGTCCGGGGTTGGGCTAGGAAGCGGTGCGCCTTCTCATGTCACTTTCCATTCCAGCCCTGACGCCCCCCCCCAGGGTCCACCACGCATCTCTTCTTCCCCCTCACCTCCTCGTCCGGGACGCTGCCGGCTGTGCTTCCACCGAGCCCGCCAGTTTAGTCCCGTTTCCTTCTCTAGTTAAGACTCCCTGTCAATGACAGTTACTTTTTGGCCTTTTCATATGTGCATATTTGGGGGGCCTTTAACCCCCCCTCGTGGAGAAATGAAGGTAACAAAATGGCGGACCCGGAAGTGAAGGCGCTGCCGTACGATTTCTGGCGGAGGAATCTGTAGAGGGAATATGATTAGAAAACTCGTACTGCCACTCGAACAGAAAGATGATGCACTTCCGAGACTCATTTCCTATCTACTGAAGGACTTCTGAGGTGGAAAAATGTGTATCCGAGACATCCTAGACGGAACTATTTATCGAGGCGGAGGATTGTTGATTACGTGTCTTACGTGTCTTATAGTTCCAGCAGAGGACGGACACGATGGTTGTTTTGGCGCCAAGAACCCGGCGAACCGCTGAAGGGAAATCAGATTATGCATTAGTCCTGAAGTTTGCGTCCTGCCTTTTGGCTCCTTCTCCCGGGGGCTAGGCTCAGGATTGACAGGATAGCCTTGCTTCCTTGTCCTTGGACATTTCTGGTTTTACTCGTGAATTGGGCTCTGGTGCTTGATGGACACACGTTTCCAGTCAGAAGACCCCAGAGCCAAGCTGTCAGTGCGCAAATAACTGAGTCATTTGTACGGGGCGTTGGTGGTACCGGGGGAGCCTAGAATAGGATGGAGCATGCGTTTGCAAATCCATTTAGTCACTTTATTTACCATTTGATCCCCGTCTCCACCCACCATTTGCCATGACTACAGGACTAGGAGAAATCTGGGAAGAAGCCCTTCAAAAAAATAAGTAAATACACTTTACGAATTGGAGGAAAATAAAAAGATAGAAGGAAAAAAATTTAAAATGAAAAAAAAAAGAAAATCAGTAAAAATAGAAAAGGACACACTTATCCTTCTTGGCCCCATTCTTTTTTTTTTTTTTTTTTTTTTGAGACAGAGTCCCACTGTGTTGCCCGGAGGGAGAGCGGCATCTGCCTAGCTCACAGCAACCCCAAACTCCTGAGCTCAAGCAATCCTTCTGCCTCAGCCTCCCAAGTAGCTGAGACTGCAGGCATGCGCCACCATGCCAGGCTAAATTTTTTTAACATATATATTTTTTTAGTTGGCCAATTAATTTCTTTCTATTTGTAGTAGAGAGGGTCTCGCTCTTGCTCAGGCTGGTTTCGAACTCCTGACCTTCAGCGATCCACCTGCCTTACAGGCATGAGCCACCATGCCTGGCCTATTGGCCTCATTCTTTATTGGACTTTGATCGTCTTTATTTATTTATTTATTTATTTGAGACAAAGTCTCACTTTGTTGCCCACACTAGAGTGAGTGCCATCGTGTCAGCCTAGCTCACAGCAACCTCAAACTCCTGGGCTCAAGCGATCCTCCTGCCTCAACCTCCCGAGTAGTTGGGACTACAGGCATGCACCACCATGCCCGGCTAATTTTTTCTCTATATATTAGTTAGCCAATTAATTTCTTTCTATTTGTATTAGAGACGGGTCTTGGTCTTGCTCAGGCTGGTTTCAAACTCCTGACCTTGAGTAATCAGCCCACCTCAGCCTCCCAGAGAGCTAGGATTACAAGCATGAGCCACCGCGCCCGACCAACCATCTTTAGATAGTAGGTATAGGAGGACTAGGAGGCGAATTTACCTTTCTCCCCCCTCCTCTGAACAACTCTAGACCCTATTCTGTTCCTTTTTTTTTTTTTTAGACTAGTCAAGTGCAGTAGTGAGAAGGGGGGAAAGTAGCAGAACAAGGAGTTCAATCTGTAACTGATTGTGAACAATCAAGTTAGATAACTCACTATTTTCAGACCAGCCTTTTTTTTTCTTTTTTTGGAAACAGAGTCTCTCTTTGTTACCCAGGCTATAGTGCAGTGACATCATCATAGTTCATTGCAAGGTCAAACTCCTGGGCTCAAGCAATCCTCCTGCCTTAGCCTTCCCAGTAGCTGGGACTACAGGCAAATGTCACAACCCCCAGCTAATTTTTCTATTTTTAGTAGACACGGTGTCTCTCTTGCTCAACCTTATCTCGAACTCCTGGGCTCAAGCGATCCTCCTGCCTCAGCCTCCCAGAGTGCTAGGATTACAGGTGTGAGCCACCTCACCCGGCCAGTTTGTGTCATCATTGTAGTATTTTCAGCATACTGCCCAATGCTATCCATACTGGTATTTATGGCTTCCCATTTTAAGTTTGAGATTCAGAATCTTGTTTCATTCCTGTTTACATCCTCTTGTCTAGCTCATTGCCTTTCATATAGTAAGCACACAAAAAGTGAAAAACTATTTGAAAAACTATTTTAAATAGTCTTTTGGAATGAGGTGAGATAAATAGATAATATATTTGGATGAATTAGTTTATTTTCTTAGGCACCTAAGAGAATTATTACCTGAAATATAATGTTGGTAGGGTAGAAGAGTGGTTGTAGCTTTAAGTACTTTTCTAATTTTAAGTTGATTTCACCATTTGCTTTGATATCTCTCTGTTCAACGCAAAGTTCACCTTTTTTTTCTTTTTTTGAGACTGAGTCTCCCTCTGTTGCTTGGGCTAGAGTGCGTGGGGTCAGCCTAGCTCACAGCAACCTCAATCAAACTCCGGGGCTTAAATGATCCTCCTGCCTTAGCCTCCTAAGTAGCTGGGACTACAGAAACATGCCACCATGCCTGGCTAATTTTTCTATTTTTTGTAGAGACAGGGTCTCACTCTTGCTCAGGCTGGTCTTGAACTCCTGGCCTCAAGCAATCCTCCTGCCTCAGCCTTCCAAAGTGCTAGGATTACAGTGTGAGCCACCTAACCCAGCCTGGAAGTTCGTCATTTAATGTATGTATAAATGCTATTCAAATCATTCTTCCTAAAAACTGAATATTAGAAAGATAAAATGTAAAAGCTGAATGTGAAAGCAAGGCTAATTAATTTTTTTTTTTTTTTTGAGACAGAGTCTCACTGTGTTGCCCGGGGCGAGTGTGGCGTCAGCCTAGCTCACAGCAACATCAAACTCCTGGGCTTAAGCAATCCTCCTGCCTCAGCCTCCTAAGTAGCTGGGACTACAGGCATGCCTGGCTACTTTTTTCTATAAATATATTAATTGGCCAATTAATTTCTTCCTATTTTTAGTAGACTCAGGGTCTCTCTTGCTCAGGCTGGTTTTGAACTCCTGACCTTGAGCGATCTACCAGCCTCAGCCTCCTGGAGTGCTAGGATTACAGGTGTGAGCCACCTGTAATCCCCAGCCTAATTTTTGAGATTAATACTGCTTCCCTGTGAAGAAAGAGAAAACTAGAATCCAGTCCTGGGATTGAATGTCTTTATTAAATAAATGAGTAAATGGCAGCACAAATCAGCAGCAATAATTTTGGAAGGCGTGGGGACAGGTGTTATGTCAGAATGTAATTGTTCATTTCATAGTTTCAATGTAACTAAAGAACTGCCCAAGGCCCATTGATCAGTATTATATATTGCAAGAGGGCAAGACTACAATACTAAGGACTGAACCCTAATCCTTTTAGAAGACAGTCAAAACCTTACAGATTATTATAATGGTCAGCAAGATTGCACCTTGAGATTTGATATCTAATGTTCCTCAGCTAGTTTTCAACTCACAGCAGCAAATGTGTAGAGTAGGCTTGAAGAAGGAACACTCTTTTGAGAAAAAGAACTTAGCTATTCTTGAAATAATTCAGCATTTTTCCCTATTTTCATTTTGCATGACATATTATTTCCTCCTGTTTTATACCCTTAACTACCCCCATTTCTTTAAGAAAAACAGTGTATTATAAGCAGCAACAGGAAAGCAAGAGTCCTTAGGCTTTTAGAAATCCTGTTTTATAACAGTTAATAATCTGGAGTTAATATTTAGAGGAAAAAGGAAGAATCCCTGTGACCCCAATACTCCATTGCTTGTCCCCTTTACTTTGTGGCTTGAGGGCTTTTGAGAATTATGGAGTAGATAGATGGATAAATAAATAAATAAATAAATACAACTCAACTCTGGCAGATTCATCAGCACCACCAACACAATCGAAGAGAGAGAACAAGATTAAAATGGGAAAGGGGTAGAAAGGAAAGGGCTTGAAAGGGAAGACAATGAGGGCAAGGTGGTAGGAGAGAGAAGTCTTGGCCTTAGAGCAAGTCCAATTCAAAGGAGTGGATGCTGGCAATGGGAGCTCTCCAGAAGTTGAAGGTGCTGTACTCAAGAAGGGCATCACCTTCGGGGTTTTTCTCCTGTTCTGCTCCAGTTGCTTGCCCGGTCATTTTGCCAACGCTGTTGTCCTTGACCTTGAAGATGGATGTATCTGACAGACCCAGGCCTTCTAGCTCTGACAGATCCAGTTCTGGGATGGGCATCCTCCAGAAAAGAAAGGAGCTGTACTGGCTACTCACGGGGTCCCTCATAGCTTCCTGGAAAGAAAGCACTTGTCAGTCTTAATGCTACAGCAACTTTTTTGTGGCCCATAGTCTGCTTTTCTTGGTTAGAAACTCCATATCCCTGTTTCCCTCTACACATAAGCAAATTTCCCTAGGACAAGCTTCAGGAACCCTGCCTTTATTACCCTTTTCTACCATTTCCTAACTTCTCATCTTGGAATGACTTTTTTTTTTTTTTTCTTTTTTTGTGATACAGGGTCTTGCTCTGTTGCCCCAACTGGAGTGCAGAGGCATGATCATAGCTCACTGCAACCTCCAACTCACAGGCCTAAACAATCTTCCTCAGCCTCCCAAATAGCTAGGACTATAGGCACACATCACCATGCCCAGCTAATTTTCTTATTTTTTGTAGAGGTGTGATTCCACTATGTTGCCCAGGCTGGTCTCAAACTCCAGGCCTCAAGTGATCCTCCTGCCTTTGCCTCCCGAAGTGCCACCAGACATGAGCTACTGAATGGTGCCCAGCAGAATGATTTATTTACTATTGCATCAAATTGATCTTGGGTCTGATTTTCAAGGCCTTCCAAAATCTGACCCACTTTTTTTTTTTTTTTTGAGACAGAGTCTCACTCTGTTGCCAGGGCTAGAGTGCGGTGGCGTCAACCTAGCTCACAGCCACCTCAAACTCCTATGCTCAAGTGATCCTTCTACGTCAGCCTCCGGAGTAGCTGGGACTACAGGCATGCACCACCATGCCCGGCTAATTTTTTCTATGGATTTTTAGTTGGCCAATTAATTTATTTCTATTTTTAGTAGAGATGGGGTCTTGCTCTTGCTCAGGCTGATCTGGAACTCCTGACCTAGAGCGATCTGCCCACCTTGGCCTCCCAGAGTGCTAGGATTACAGGTTTGAGCTACAGCACCTGGCCTGGCCCACTCTTCCTAGCAAGTATACAGCCTCAACTATAGTTATGCTCATTCCTGGTTAAGTCTCTCCATTCTCCACCTTTAAAATACTTCCCAAGTTTCAAGGCTCTAATCAAGTTCCTAGAGGAATCCCCCTCTCCCAAATTCCTATTATATTTATAGTTACTTGACCTCTTCTTGACTTTGATTTAATAGATCATGGTACTTGTGAAAAGGCCTTCCATGGCATTTCTGCTTTATATTTTCCTTCTTGCCTTATAAACTGTACTATAAACTCACCTCTTCCAGGACAACTTTCTTAAACTTACTCAGCTTCATCACTCTATTTCCTCCATCTTCTCCCCCAATGCCCTGTGGAGTTTTACCTGACTGCATCAGTTTGGGGTTACAGATCACTGTTACTGCATTTTATGTATAGGGATGGTCTTATCTCCTATCTCCAACAGACTGGGAGTTTTCTTAAGGGTAAATACCAGCCTACTTTCTCTGTATGGCTAGTGCTGGGCTCTACACACAAAGACTGCTAATTCAAGGCTGCTAATTAATCTCCCCTCACTATTTAATACAATGAATACTTTGCCATTCCCATCTATTAGCGCATAGGTAAGCCTTAACAGTCTACTATCTCTTCTTCAGAGCAAAACCCAAGTGCTAAAAGAATTTTCCTATGCTGTAGGGTCTCTTTTCTCTGACCCCAAGGCTAGACTATAATTGATGATAGTGAGAGCAAATGGATTGGAAATTCCAGGTAAGAAAAGCTTAGATTGGAAGGAGATTTTAACAAAATTGGATACTTTTCCATGCTTTATTGGGTAGTTCTATCACCTTTTCTGTTCATGCTACCCACACTTTGCCTGATATTACATGACCATTATAGCTCCCTGCAGCCTCCGCCCTGCTACTTACTAGCCAAGGGAAGGGGCAAGAAGCATTAGTTGAAATGTTCCCAAAGGAGCAGAAAGAACATTCCACTGCCTCCAAAAATAGAACCCTAAGTTTCAAAAGGCCTTTCTCCAAATACCCCACTGGCTCTCACTAGGCCTGAGACTTTTAATAGCAGCCTTAAATAGGTTCCAAAATGCCCTCATATAATGTGAAATGACTCTACTAAGGCAGAAAAGAAATTTTTAATCTAGAATGTGGTGATATGTGAGGGGGGTGCTTTAGAAATGGTGAGTGGGGCCAGGCAAGGTGGCTCATGCCTGTAATCTTAGCACTCTGGGAGACCAACGCAGAAGGATCGCTTGAGGTCAGGAGTTTGAGACCAGCCTGAGCAAAAGCAAGACCAAGTCTCTATCAGAAATAGAAAAAATTAGCCAGGAGTGGTAGGGAGCGCCTGTGGTCTCAGCTACTGGGGAGACTCAGGCAGGAGGATGGCTTCAGCCTAGGAGTGTGAGGTTGCAGTGAGGTATGATGACACCATTGCACTCTACCCAGGTGACAGAGTGAGACCCTGTTTAAAAAAAAAAAAAAAAAGTGAGTGGGTTGGTTAGGATGTTTTTAATGTTAAAACTGAATTCTGAGTTGATCTTTTTCTTCTTAGGTTCACACTCCAAAATAAAACTGGGAACTGAGCATTACTCAGCAGAGAAGCTGCTTAGAATGATGCACAGACTGGAGCAGGGTGGGGGAGCATGTTGGAAAGGTGAGGTCATCTTCCTATGACATTCAACTCTGATCATTTCCACAGTAATTTGCAGAGACATTTGCACAGGAAGAGAGCTACAAAAATGGTTCAATACTGTTACTGTCTTCTGCCTACAGATTGTTTATTGTGTTAACAGTTATTTCCCTAGCTAGTTGGCTTCTTTCATAGCTCCTCCCTTACAAGTCTATTCCAGAGTGAGCTTAGTATAATGCTAGCACATAATAGGCTCTCTAAAAAACAAACTCAGTGGGAAAAAAATCAGCATTTTTAAACTAGAAGACACCTTACAAATTACCTAGTGACTTAAGTCTTCTAACCAGTTTGTATAGAACTCAGGTCTCATAATTCCCAATCTGATCCCTTTTTGTGTTGTAGATAGTTGCTTCACTGCTTTTATAACCCTATACCCTATTCTCAAAACTTACAAGAATTCTTAGCTCCTGAAGAACAGATATTCTGTGGGTTAGGCACTGATTATTCCTGTAATTCTAATTTGAGTGGTTTAAAGCAAAAAGGCAGTATAGAGCAAGCTACAATCTGAGAAAGGGAAAAAGCTCTTTGACAAACTGACTCCTTTTCTTAAAATCAGAGTATGTATAAAAGCTGCCTAGATAGTCTCTGAGTGTTTGGCAGAGCTAACCTGCAATTTAAAAAGCTAAAGGAAATTTTATGAAAAAAAGGCCTAATATCTCTAGCTATGTTATTGACCCAGAGACATATACAGAAGATACCAAATGCATTCCAGAAAGACACTCATACAAGCATATGTGGCATTAAAATCAAGTCAATCAATGCTCAGTGCTAGATCTAAAAAAAAAAAAAAATCAAGTCAAGAACATAAAGACTACATAGAAAATTGAAGTTAAGATACCAAAAGATATTTACTAATGTAAATAGTAGTTAAAAGTTTGATTTAATACAGTATGGATTTAATTCCCAAAGTCCTCCCGATATTGCAAAAGGTCCCTTTTCAGCCAGCTTCCCGTTCCCCTCCCCAAATTCTCTCTGCCTATACTTCATCTATCTTTACATCTATCATTTGCTTATCTTAAAGGGTTTGGACAGTGCCTTGTACTACAATATAGGCTCAATAAATGCTTTCCACTATCCTTCATTTTAAATTATCCAGATATTTATGCAAATGTAATTTTTAAATATCACTGTCTTTTCTTAGAGATACATGATTAGCAAATATACAGATTAGAAATATATATACTCCCTCTTAGCCACACAGACATGCCCAAATACCCTTTGTCCAGGTCCTCTGTGGGCATCCAAGGCCTATTCAACAGGGCCTTGCTGTGTCATGCTGCCATTATGGGGGCTGGGGAAGGAGGAGAGGTGGTGGTGGTAGAGAATGAAAGCTCTCTGGTTTCTATTATGTGTGCCTCACTCTGAGTTTGGATTTTCCTATTAGCCATGTCCTTCCCCGACATATTCCACTGAGCTACAAATAAGCATTCCTTTTCCAGAATCTATCCTCATACCTAGCTCCTGTGGGCTGAGCTAATTACAATATGGGATCCAGCAGTTCTCTACACAGAGATCCCCACCTTTCCTACTTCAAACTGCCTCTTTGGAGCAAAAATTTGAGTTGGGGAGAGGAAGATTGTCAATAGAAAGGTCAGGATTACTCTCAACACTATCCCATATCCCTTCCCCTAAAACTCCCTCCTACAAAGACAAATAGAAGACTATAGGAAAAAACTGCAAGTATGGGGAAGTAGAGGCTAGAGAGATATGGGAGGACTAGAGAGTCATCAAATAACTGGTAGAACAAATTACAGCTTGAAAAGAAAGATAACTGGACAGAAGATATTAAATAAACAGTCCAATAAATTACAGAAAAACATACCTGAAATAAGGAGGTAAGTGCTGAGAAATAACTGCATGTAAATTGCTGGAAATGAATGTCTGGGTACAGGATAACAAGGCATGGAAACGGTGAACAAATAACTGCCCATTGTTCATAGCGCCCCCTTTTCTCTTCTTGAACTGTCCCCCACCTCCTCCTTATTTGAGGTCTTCAATCTAACCAGAAGAAACTGCTCTTCTATCTTTGCAGCCCCCTACCCCCCTCCCTCAGTTTAGTTTACCTGTTATCAATGACTTACTAGCGTGTTCCAAAGATGGAGGGAGTGTCTCGGGGGCTCCGGGGTCTGCTCTGGGCTGGAGAAAAAGAAAGCTATCGGGGCTTTGACGGCTTTGTCTTCTCACTCCCTCTCTCTTCAGTGACTGAATCTGCCTGCTCAGTCTCCCCCTGCAATGCAGCCCCTCCTAAGAAGGGCGGAAGGACTCCCCACCCCCTCCCTGCCTGACTCGGCTAATTCAAATGATAGGTTCCAGAACACTTTAGGGAGGGAGAGAGGATTAAAGCATCTCGGTAAGCTTATTGGTCTGCACAATCATTCCCATCTTTTCCAGCATCCCTGTGCTGACTGGGGATGCAATGAATGAGCAGGCAATTGTCCTCCAAATTTAGGTTTATGGATTAAAAATATTAACACTAGACAACAATGGAAAGGAGGAGTGTCCCTTTCTTCCTCAATTTAAGGACTTCAGGTTACTAGGTGTTTTTGGGAATCAGAAAAATTCTGCACCCCTTCCCCCAATCCCTACTCTTTACGACTGTCCACCCTCACAATGGGTAAATAAACCTAGCCTTATTCCATTTTGGGTAGAGCACAAGAGACTGGCGGGAGCGGGGGTGCTTCTGCGAATCTCTGAACTTGGTTAGGTCTGGAGGATTTGGGAGTTCCACTTCGTATTGCCCCGCAAGCCCTGGCGTGTATAGGGAACGTGCGATTCCGGGGTCCCCAGTTAGGGTGTCAAGCCCTCATCCAGGCCTCCACATGCTCCGACTCCCCGAGCATGGGCGGCGGCCTTCTGGCCCGCGGAGGCCCCCTCCCATGTCCCTCCACTGTGCAGTGCCTCAGCAGTCCAGGGGGGAGCTGTGCTCTCGGCTCGGAGCTCAGCCGGACGGGTTTCGTAATCGCGTCGCTGCCGCTTCCGCCCTCCGCCAGCCCCACCTCTGCCGGCCCGCCCTCGGCTCCCCCACCGCGCGAAGGAGCTAGCCGGGGAACCCCTCACCGGCGGCCGCGGAGCAGGACTCCCCCGCCCCCCACCAGCTGTAGCTGGACGCCTTGATGTCGGAGAAGAGCAGGTGAGACCGTAGAGTTGGTCCCTGGGCCCGCCTGCCACGCCTGCCAGGCCAGGCGGAGACGCACCGGATGCTGGGGGTGGGGAAGGAGGGTGTCCTGGGTGGTCGAGATGCTGGGTCGGTGGGAAAAGGGGTCCCCTCCCAGGGTAACAGTCCTCATCCACTCATCCACGCTCGTGCGGTACGGTATGCAGGTTAAGGCTGCTGAAGAGGAGAAGAGAAAGAAGGGACTGGAATGTTGGGGGAGGTGGGAGAGAGGGTCTGAAAGATTCACAGAGAAGTCCCAATCCTAGTTCAGGGTTGGGAGGAGCAGAGAATTTCTGGGTAGAGTTTGGGGGACCGAGATAGATTCTATGTGATTGAATATATTGGGGGAGAGGAAACTTAGGGCCTAGTGCTGTTTCCTGATAATAAACCCCCACCAGACCTTTTCTGGGGAAGGGTAGGGTTGGTGCTGGGGCCTGTCACTTGGCTGAAATATGGGTCCACCCCTCTTCTCCAGAGCCCCTCAAGAACCCTCCATGTCTGGGGGTCTCCACACAGGGACCAGCTGCAGCCCTGGGCTTATAGAATTGCCCACTCCATTCTCCCAATTCTTTTTCTTTCCAGCTGCTTCTTGTGAGGGCTTGTCAGGCAGCGGGTTGGAGGCCTTGGGGCTGGAGGCAGAGAGACCAGGAAAACCGGTTTGGGGCTTGAACAGGACCAGAGAACTACCTCTGTACATCCTTCCTCCCTGGCACCTTCCTCCTATCCTTCCCTTGCTCAACACCTTTGAGGTCCTTAAGTCCTAATGTGACCTTGGTAGGGGTGGGGGTTGTCTTCCAGTTCCGTGTTCACTCGTCCTATTTGAGGCTCAGAGAGGCCAAGTTCTCAGTACTACTTGGCTATCAGGTTGTGGCCTTATGCTGTCTAATCCTGATCTCTCCTGTTGTTTTCCTAGCCCCTTCCCATTCACTGTGAAGCTGAAATAATGGGCAGTGGATTCGGGTGGCTCTTTCTCTGTGGCTCACTAGCTCAGGACTTCATTTTTTCTCAACCCACTCTTCTCTGGCTGCTTTAAAGGAGAATGAGAGCCAATGGCTTTCACTTCCTTTTCTGGCCTTGTTCCCCATTCCCCTCACCCTGTACTAATTCGACATTCACCCTGTCCTGTCTTCTTTACACTCTGACCCCACCCGTAAGTTTCAGAGACCCTAATGTCCTAGGGAATGGAATTTCCTGGTCACTTCTCATCATCATTGGTCATTTCATGCCAAGTCCCATACACACACTTTGCCTCCACCCAGCTCTGGTCAGGTCCCTGGAAAAGAAACAGAAACGTCCTTGTTCCCTCCACTGCCTCTTTCCTTCTCTCCTTCTCCTCCCCCTCTTCTCTCTTCTTCCCTCCCAGCACCATCCACCTCTATCCACTCAGCTTTGAGCAGGGTGGGGAAATGTTGCGGGGAGAGTCCTGTCTCAGTACAGCCTGTCTGGTGGTGGTGGGGGTTTCCTCTGATTCTTTATTGTTTTCTCCATTCCCCCCCCCCAACTTTACCACCTGCCACCATCACCATCACAACAAACCCTATGACTGACTGACTGACTTCCCCACTAACCACAGCTCCCCTCTCTGGACAGCTGTGCTCTGACTTCCACCCTGTTTGATTGATCCTCCAGGGGTGGAAAGGGAAGTAAGAGAAAGCCCAAACTCCTGGGTTCTTTCCTTCCCTAGAAGTTGTATTTAAGTGTTTGTGTAATCTCATCTCAAGCTTGTTAAAAAAACAAAACAAAACAAAAAAACCTCTCAGTTTTTAAGTCAGTCTAGGGTGCCAGAACATCAGGGGTTCCACGCTTGGGAGGAAGGGAGATTCCTGTTCATGTAATATTCATGAAACTGCCCTGTTTGGAATCTTTGATGTTGTCCGTACTATAAGACTGGGAAAATGCAGTGAGTATAGGAAGAAACCCAGATGTGCCCTACCCTGGCTGGCACTAGTAAAAAGAGAGGATGATCTTCCTTGGACACTAATATTATTGGAAAGTTCCTTGTGTCTGGTTGGCTGATGAAGCTTGGGGTGGACATGGTAAGGAGGGAGGAGAGAACAGGTCACAGCATGAGGGCAGGAGGGAGGGAAGCCTGGGCCTTATAGCATGTGAGGCAGAGCAGAGTGGCACGATAGGACATGTGGAGAGGGTGGGGAGGCTGGAAAAAGATTTCTCATGGGACAGAAGATACCTGGCACATCTACCTACAACCTGTACACAGATGATCTATACAAGACACATGTGAAGATATGGCCATGCCATATATGTGCAAACAGGAGTGCAGTGATAAAGGACACAAATAAACAGAGTGTGCACAGCCTTCAGAAAGGATCTCAAGGTCAGGTAATAAAGGAACTGCTAAGTGGCTTCTGGGAGGAGTTGGATCTCACTTAAGGGAAATGAGGAGGAACAAAGGCAGCAAACTGAGAGAGGGAAGAAATTCCTCACTGTGGAATGTCTTTCTCCAGGTCTAACCCACTAGAGTTAGTCTCCTAGGACCTAGGTGGTCAAGGTTTCTCTTGTTCTTAAAGAAAATCTAGGTGTTGAGGGCAAGGTAAGGAAAAAGGGAGGGGACAGGGTGGAGTCCTTGTTTGTGAGAACAAAAAAACCACTATTTCCTCTTCAAAGTCACTTAAATGCCCCTCCCCTTCTGCCCCAAACCCAAGGAGAAGGGAGCTGGAGCTTATAGCACCCCCAAAAGTTGCTCATTTCTGCCACTATCCTTTGGTCCTCCCCCATCCTCTTAACCAAGTGCTTCTAGCCCCCTTCTACTCCCAGCTTCTTAACCCCTTGGTGTCTTTTTCGTTCTGTTCCTTTTTCTGAGAGTCAAACTGTGAGGTTCTTATATTTGGAACAGATTAGTGTTAGGGTACAGGCTGATGTACAAGGGCTTCTAAGGGAGAACTGGGAAAATACAGGCTCATCAGGAGGTTTCTCATTAACTTTTCTTTTTACATTCTGCTGATACAGGGTTCCAAGTCTGAGGAAGACATAACCTTGTGCCTGCCTGCCCACTTCTCTCTCTGGCCCTGTAAATCTCTCAGGATCTGAGACACTGACCTTCATTGTTTAGTGAAGAGTTCTGAAGATTCTACTTTCTCTAGACCCATCCAGCTGAGTGAACCCAGGGTTTTGTTACACCTTAGAAAAGTGAGGAGTGGGTGGTCAAGGCACCAAAGCAAGAGCCCTCTGGGGCCCAGACAGAGGAGTGAAGCTGGAACCATCAGGGAACATGAGTGAATTTTGGCACAAACTGGGCTGCTGTGTGGTAGAGAAACCCCAGCCGGTGAGTCTCCCCATCCCCTCCCCAACTCACATAGGAATCAGTTACTGTATACTGTGAAGTAGACATACCATGTAGGACCTGCTGTCTCCAAATCACACTTCTTGTCTCCCTCTCTGTCAGGATAGTTTCTGTGGCCAGGCAGGTGTATATGTGGAAGAAGGGGGATTGGATAATGGAAGCAGTGAATAGTCCTATCCCTTCTTGTTCCTGTCCATCCTGAGTTGGGCAGGGGTTGTAGGTGGAGTGTAATGCCTCTTTTCCCCATTGTTTCCTCAGCAGTCAGAGGTGACTTTGACACGTCCTTTATTTGTCCAGTATCCACTCTGCAGGCCACTGCCTTCATCAGTCTGGTCCATGTCCTCTTTGTGTTGATGTTATTTCAGCTTTGCTTTTCATACCCTAGTGATTTCCCTATTATAATGCCACATGCCCTCTTCCCACTAGGCCCTTAGTTCTTCCTTTAGTGGTTTTCAAGACTCTTTTCCCTTCCTCCACTCTGACTGGAGGAGGGAGCTTCAGATATGACTTCCTATCTTCTCCCAGCAGAAGAAGAAGCGAAGACGGATTGACCGGACCATGATTGGGGAACCAATGAATTTTGTTCACCTGACTCACATTGGCTCTGGGGAGATGGGGGCCGGAGATGGACTTGCCATGGTAACAAGGGAATGGGGAGAGGTTGATATGGGGGTATGGTCTATAACTGTTCCTCTTTTTAGAAAGTACAAGCAAGGGATATAAACAAAATACTGGGGTAGGAAGAATCTGGGATTCTAGTCTGGTCACCAGTTATATAAATCTGAGACCTGGCATTTCAGGTCTCTGGGCCTGTGTTCTCTCATCTTTATAATTAGCAGATTGTTCTTCATTATGGTGGGGCATATTTATGTCTTTTTCTTTTTTCTATTTCTTTTTTAATTTGGGCCTTTCAGAGAAACATATTTATGTCTTAATAGTTAATTGGAGCCAGGCACGGTGGCTCATGCCTATAATCCTAGCTCTCTGGGAGGCCGAGGCGGGCGGATCGCTCAAGGTCTGGAGTTCAAAACCAACCTGAGCAAGAGACCTCGTCTCTACTATAAATAGAAAGAAATTAATTGGCCAACTAATATATAGAGAAAAAATTAGCTGGCATGGTGGCGCATGCCTGAAGTTCCAGCTACTCGGGAGGCTGAGGCAGTAGGATTGCTTGAGCCCAGGAGTTTGAGGTTGCTGTGAGCTAGGCTGACGCCACGGCACTCACTCTAGCCTGGGCAACAAAGTGAGACTCTGTCTGAAAAAAAGAAAAAAGTTAATTGGAGGGAAAAAAATTAGTTGAGGGGCTGTTTCCAAAAACTATAATCCTTCCTTCTCCTAAGTAAGAACTGCTATCTTAGTGCCACAGTAAGTCTTAGGAGTGTTGGGGGCAGGAAAAAAGCTGAGTACTCTGTCCTAAATAATGTCTAAGATGCCTTTCGGCTCTCAAAAATGGGAAATACATTTAGAGATAGTGAAAGAAGTGGCTCATGCCTATAATCTCGGTGCTTTGGGAGGTTGGAGAATCACTTGAGCCAACCTGGTCAATATAGTGAGACTCGGTCTCTACAAAAAGTAAAAGCATATCCAGACACGGGGGGGGGGGGGGGGGTGCACCTGTAGTCCCAGCTACTTGGGAGGCTGAGGCAGGAGGATTGCTTGAGCCCATGAGTTCAAGGCTGCAGCGAGCTATGCTTGTGTGACTGCATTTTAGCCTAGGTGACAGAGCAAGACCCTGTTTCAAAAAAAAAAAAGTATTTTCACCAATTATGAAACTCAGATATATATAGTCCTTTGTGAGGGGATCTTATTAGTAAAATATCCATTTCGCCTCACCCTCATGAAGGCCAGTATGAAGGCATTGAAACTTCCCTGGGAGGAATGGCAGTTAGTTTTAGCCTTTTCAGATTGATGTTACATTCAAGGCTGTGGGGCCAGTCTCTTTCCTGGAGTGCACAAGGTAGACCTTTTACTGTGGGATGTGAAAATGTAAGAGGATGTCTCATGTGTGCTTTTTCACAGACAGGTGCAGTTCAGGAGCAGATGAGGTCCAAGGGAAACCGAGACAGGCCATGGAGCAATTCTCGGGGCTTGTAGCTCCAACAGGAATGGTGAGTGATTAGAGAATCCCATCTACCACCTCAGCCCCTGCCAACACATCATGATACCCTGCTTCAGAACCCTGATCCTCTGATGCAGGAATGGGAAGTAAGGGGAAGGAGAGAGAATTAGTATGAAAGATTTAAGAATGTAGGATCCAGAAAGAGAGAGAGAGGGTGTTGTATAGACAGAAATAGAGAAAAGAGCACACTGTGGAAAACTAGGTGGTGCCTTTTATCTAAAGCCTTGGTTTCCTTTGAGGCTAATCTTCCTTCTTTAAAAAAATTTTTTTTTTAATCCAGGTTTTGGCATCTTGAAGCCCCGATTCTGTGTCCAGCCTAGAAGAAATGCTGCCCCCACCAGATGCCTCCTAGAACCAGTGACCCAAGGGCCCCTCTTTCCCCTATCTACCTAACAGTGCCTCAAAAGGCTTAGGGGGCTGGACTCCCTCTACTCCCTCTGGCTATAGCCCCTCCTGGAGATGGGGTCAAGGCAGCAGGACTGACCAAGTGACTACTGGTTGGCCAGAGGCGTTCAGCTGAAACCCTGGACACCCTCAGATCTGAGATAGGAGTTCTGGGAACCTGGAATGAGTTCCCTTTTCCTGAATGATGGTCTGGGTACCACTTGTTTTTAAACTCTTAACCTGGAACTCCTTAAATGGGGTAGGTGGGTGAGATAACCAAAGCTGATGCCAGTTTTGCCAAGAAGCTCCATACCTCCCTGCCTTTCTCCTCTTTCTTCCTGGAATGAACTAAAGCAGATGTCAAGCAGAAGGGGTGACTACTGCCTAGCCTCCTCTTTCTCTGTAGATTTCAGACCTTAAGCTTATAGACCCTCGGTCCCTCTGCCAACACCAGGGTGTTTCTCTATTTAGGCTTCTAATCCTATGTTTCTATAGCATTATTAGCTTCCCAGCAACTTTCCTTTTTTAAAAAAAATTAAAAATTTGAGTTCTCTTAATTATCTCCATCTACTTCTATTGCTATTCCTTCTGCCTTTAACCCTATCCCTGTTAGGAACCTTATTGTTTCCCTGATGACATTCCATGTAAGTTTTGGGGGACCTGTCCTGTTTGTTCTCTGCCACCCTCCCTGCTGGCCCAGGTGAGAGGAGGAAGAGAGGTCAGGAGAGAAATCCAGAATGCAAAAAAACTAGGGGTTATATATCAAGGTAGACTTCTGACTATTGAGGATGGGAGAGGTGGTGAGATAAATAGGTTGAAAACAATCATCTTTGAGTTTAGGGGTCTTATGATCCTCACAGATTGGAAACAGGGAGAGGGTCTAGAACAAGGTTTCTCAACCTAGAGATTTTCGGATGGATAATTCTATGTAATGGAGAGCTGTTTTGTGCATTATAGGTTGTTTAGCAGCATGCCTGGCCCACCCTAGTTATGACAACCCAAAATGTCTCCAGATGTTGTCAAATGTCTAAGGGCAAAATTGCCTCCAGTTGAGAACTGTAGCTCTAGAGTCAAAGATACTTTTCTCTTAAGTGATTTCCACCCTGCACCCTATCTTCGTCCTATTATTCACCTTAAGCCTGAGCCATGGATGAACTAGGACTCTTTATAAATTAGGCTCAATAGGGCTGCTTATTCAATGTGTTGCTTGTGTTTGTGTGGTCTCATGTCTTTGTGATGAACATGTACTATGCTTCTCCATTCTTGTCCCCTGGAGGAGGGGTTCCTGCAGTGTGGAGACATGAACAGGGTATTGTAGGATTGGGGTAGGGGGAGAGAAAAGCAGTAGACACACGCCACCTTATCCTCCCCATATTTTCAGTTCTATTTCTGTGCCCTGGTCCTAAAACCAGATACAAATAAGACTCAGGGAGTTTTGTCTGAAGACCAGGTCCCGCTGCCCACCTGGCTGAAAATCTACTTTAGATGAGAAAGCAATATAGGAGCAGAGTCTTTAGGCACTTTCAGTTTTCTCAGGTGTTTTTTGTTCTAGCCCTTTCCTCGTAGGCTAATTAGGAAGACAGAACAAGATAGATGAACTTCTGCCTGCTCTGAGACAAGAAGGCTGGGGTCTCTTATTATCTCTGCAGCCAGAAGCATCCTCTTTTATGGTAGTGGGGGTCAGGAATGTTGGAACTGGCATGCACTTTGCTGATTCCACCATCCATCCAGTTTGCTCCCACCTCCAGTACAGTGACTAAGGTTCTAATTTTTAAAAATTTCGGTGTATTTCCTGCTGCTTTTCAAGATTGGTCATAAAATTACATTCCCAATTTACTCTTAGCTTCAGTCTAGCTGGTTGCTCTCTGATCAGTAGCCTGAGTGTTACACTAGAGATCTAAAGTGTTAACAGGATAGGGTAGAAAGGTTGTGGACTCCTAGAATCTCTGGTCACCATGATCTTCAGCCTCATTCTGATATCTGTTCTTTGGACACAGTCTTGTCTTTTCTTTGGTGCTCTCTTGCCTTTAGCTACCTTCTCTAATGTGTATGCTATCATCACTTTAATAATAAAGTGATGGGAATGGGTTTGAGAGTCATAATTTATATTAAAAAATTGTTGGACTTTTAAATACATTTTTCAAATAAAAACTTTTAAGCAAAATAGTTGCAGAGCAATCACTACAGGTGTGTGTTGGATAAAAGAATAGACATGGCTGATGAAGGTGACTCCTCAAAAGTGGCTGAAATGGAATTTTTGAACCAACACTGTCCTATCTGAGGACAGAGGGCCAAATATTATTGAAGGCAAGGAGAAGACCACTATCATCTTTCAAGGCTTGACTACTTGTTCTTCCTGTCCCCTTTTCTTAGGGTTTGAGATTTTTCAATTTTTAAGTAGTACTTGTTTAAAAACAACATTGGAAATGAGGAAAATGAGCAACATTAACATTTTTTTTTGAGACAGAGTCTCACTTTGTTGCCCAGGCTAGAGTGAGTGCTGTGGCATTAGCCTAGTTCACAGCAACCTCAATCTCCTGGGCTCAAGGGATCCTCCTGCCTCAGCCTCCTGAGTAGCTGGGACTATAGGCATGTGCCACCATGCACGGCTAATTTTTTGTATATATAATTTAGTTGGTCAATTTCTTTCTATTTTTAGTAGAGACAGGGTATCACTCAGGCTGGTTTCAAACTCCTGACCTTGAGCAATCCACCCGCTTGGCCTCCCAGAGTTCTAGGATTACAGGTGTGAGCCACCACGCCAGGCCTGCAACATTAACATTTTATCCTGGGGGACAGGGAGTTGGGGAACAAGCCAGAGGCTGCTAACTACACAGTTCAGTTTTAAGGTTGAAGAGATTTATGGTCTCTCCCTTAGATACCTCTGTAAAAAGACACAAGACCAAACATTGTATTTTCCAGTTTTGTTTTTCTGTACTAAAAATATATCTAGTAGGTGTTGGAATTGAAAAGGTAAAAGAGGTTGAGATGCTGACACCTCCTCTTGTAGATGAAGTGGCCATTACCTCCGGTTTCTGTCTATCTGAGTAAGGAAAAAAATAGAGAAAATGGGAAATTACAACCACATCTATATTCTTTTCCCTTCCTTGTTTCATCTCCCCCTCCCACAAGCTCTCATTCTTTTAACCCTACTGCCCCTTCATTTATACTTCTTTTTCATATTCGATAATGGTATTGGACACACAAGGAGAAAGACAAAAATAGAAACCAGCAAAATAACCAAGTATACCCTTTGTTTATTGCCTTTCCCTCTTCCCCAAAGGTCCTGTCATCCCTCTCAGTTGAGACTAGCTTATCAGATCAATCAGAACTTTTGGTAACTCTTGGTAAAGCAGAGGACTGTCCTTCCTTGAGAATTCAGTTGTTGGGAGGAATCTCAGAAGGACAGTTCTGGATGATGGTGATTAAGAGGATGAGCACTGGTGTCAAACAAACCTGGTTTAAATCTCACTTGTGGTTCTGCTGCTTACTAGCTTTGTAAACCCCAGTTTCTTCATTTGTAAAGTGGGGATAATAATACCTTGAAGGGTGTGAGGATTGATCCAGGTAAGGTACATATAAGCAAGACCTCAAATATTGGCTGTTGTTACTGTTAAGCTGCATTAATTAGGTCAAAACTATTAATATCCTCCATATCCATTAATTATCTGTGCATCAAGAAGTCTTTATTTTTTTTGAGACAGAGTCTCACTTTGTTGCCCAGGCTAGAGTGAGTGCCGTGGCATCAGCCTAGCTCACAGCAACCTCAAACTCCTGGGCTCAAGCAATCCTCCTGCCTCAGCCTCCCAAGTAGCTGGGACTACAGCCATGCACCACCATGCCCGGCTAATTTTCTCTATATATGTTAATTGGCCAACTAATTTCTTTCTATTTATAGTACAGACGGGGGTCTCGCTCTTGCTCAGGCTGGTTTCGAACTCCTGACCTTGAGCGATCCGCCAGACTCGGCCTCCCAGAGTGCTGGGATTACAGGCGTGAGCTACTGTGCCCCGCCAAGAAGTCTTTATATATTTGCAACCTTAACTATTTGGTTAGTAATCATCTAATGACCAATAAGACATGTTGCCTGATAACCAACCAGCAGTTGCTCAAGAAATAATAGGTGGAATCAATGGCTAACAATAATGTGAATAACCAGTGCACATTATGAATCAATAACCAAATAAATCTTCACATACTTGGGCTCTTAAAAAATTAAACAAAAATGACTAACTAGATAAGTCAGTAACAGTTCACAGGAACATGCTGGCTGGCTTTAGTAACAGAGTTTTGAATTATCAGGACTTTTCAGATCCACCAACAAGGATCCAGGCTCATCACCAAACACTTACTTACTGGTTGCATCTCTGTGAACACGGTAGAGAGACTATTCCAAATATCCTCCAGGCCAATCCTGACCCGTTTCCAAAAAGCCAGCGCGGGGTTGGGGGTGGGAGTTGGAGGTGGTAAGAGGGGTCGGCGTCTAGCTTGGATGCTGGGGAAGGTGGTACTGGTGGTGGTGGTAGGAGAGGCACAGTTGCTGCCAGAACAGAAACCTGTGTCCAGGGGACACTCCTCCTGAAGTCGGTTGCAGGCACATTGCTGGTAGGTGCAAGGTCTGTGCTCCGTCCTGAGTTGGCTCAGCGCCCCAACTCGAAGGCGCCCGGAAAGGCCTTGCAGCTTCCCGGACCTGGTTCGGCTCATGGTGCCTGACTTGCAGTGGCAGTGCCACGGGCCCCAGGGCATCAGCACCAGATGCAGATCCTCAGGAGGTGGCATGGCTGTGCGCGAGAGTGATGGCCACCGACTCGGGGTGGACCCGGGTGTCGACCACCGAGTCAGGCTGGCTGCGGAGGCCAGCTGGTCCTCCGTGGACTTACGGGTAGAGCGAGGCAGGCCTGTAATAAGCCTAATTTCGGGTTCCTGGCTATTAGCTATAAACGTGGTGGAACCCCCTGCTGTATTGCGAGTGGCACCTGGCGTCTCTGGGCTGAACTTATTCTTTCTGGCATTAATCACAACCCCCTCTTCCAAAGACCCATCCTCAAACATTGATGACCGGCTGTCGCTTGTGGACACCGTGGAGGCCAAGAGCTCGGCAGCTGCTGGGCCTGCCAGGCGGTCGGCATTGGCCGTGGCGTCATCCTCATCCTCCAGAATTATCTTTGTCCTCCGGGGAAGACGGGGCCGGGCGGTGCTCCGGTGGCGGATCGGAGGACCCCCAAAGCTGAAACTGATGTGTGGCGTCCCGGTCAGAGTCTGGGTCTGGTCTTCGGCCCCCGCCGCCCAGGACCCCAGACTCAGCAGCAGGGCCCAGAGCAGCACGCCGACCATGGGGCTGGGCGGCTTGGGGTTGGGAGGGAGGCCAGTGAGCGAGGCAGGACTCCTACCTTCGCTCCCTCCCTTCCGCTCTCGACCCACCAGGGTCGTTTGAACGGAGGCCCGCGGAGAGGGGGGTTCCGACGCGTGGACGCGCGCGCCACGCGCCACGCGGGGCGCTCCCGCAGCCCCAGGGGCTGAGGTGAAAATCCTAAGGAACCTTTGCTGCAAGAACTCCGTGCCAGAACTGCGAGACGGATTGTGATGTAAGGGGTTAGGGAAAGATTCGTTCATTTCCTCGGCGCAGAGTTTAAATCTCTCATCGAAGTTTATTAGCCGCTACAGATCTGAATTTACTAAGGAGGATAAATACAGGTTTTGAAAGCACTCCTTCCGAGGCTCACAGGCAGCAGACATGACTCAGAAGGAGAGAGGGCATAAGATGGTTCTTCAAGATTTAGCAAGCTGCCACTCCCGGCTCCCAGCAGGCTGGCTGGCTGTCAACAGTTAAGCCCCTCCCATCCAAGGTGAAAAGGATCACAGCCCCTTCACTTACAGAGGAGGAAAATGAGACCCAAAGAGATGAAGTTGTTTGCCCAGGGTTCTACAGCTAAAGCAGAATTAAAACCTAGAGCTCTGCACTTCCCATACAAAATACCTCTACACTCAGCCTTTCACTCCACTCCACTGAAATGAAAGTCACCCAGCAGATCAGGTTTGCAACCTCAACTTCCTGCTTGAAGGCAGGGTCACGGAAAGGATGACGGAAAGGATGACGTCCCATTGAGAAGTGAAGATCCAGTGGTACTGGGGTTGAAGATAAGATGATTTACGAAACAGCTCAGGTGCTTCAGGGATTAGGGTGTAGGCAGATCACTATCTTTGTTGGCTTCTAAGGCCCTTTATCCAGTCCTGTGCTAGATCCCTCCAGAGCCATGGAGATCCTGGTCCAGCCTAAGAGAGGTAGGGCGAGGTGGGGGAGAGAAGTGGTTCAGGGTCAGGACTTGGGTTTTACTCACTGGTTTGGGGGACAGAAGCCAGGTGAATTGGAAGAGCTAGAAGATTGGGTGCTTGAATCATCATTTAGCATTAGCTTTAACATTGAAGATCTTTTGCTCTCCCTTACTGGATATAATTTCCTATTCACTGCCAACATATTTCTTCCTAATTTCTAGGGCCAGTCTGAATCTCCTCTAATTTATGTACTGTAATTATTCCTTTATTCCCTAATGCTTCTGCACTTATATGTATACTTTTTTTCATTTGTTCCTCTTGGATGCAGTCATGTCCTTAATTTCCCCTGGATATATGCAGTTTTTCCAGATACACTGAAGCACCTGAAAGCCAGGCCTTGGCTTTACACATCCCACCCGAAACCGTTATCCTTAAGCACAGGACTCACTGTCTGACAGCTTCAGGGATGTGAATTTGATCCAGGGAGATGAGTTGGGCCAGCTCCCCCAGGCTGTCCAGAAAACGGATCTTTCGTGCAAATTTGGAACTGCAAAGAGAGGATAACCCTAATGTGTTTTGTACTGGGAGGAGGGTTCGTGGAGACCCTTAGAAAGGGACATGTAGCAAGTAAAGCAGTTAAGGCTAGGAAGAATCAGGGTGGGACAAGATCTTCTTAAATTTTTTTTTTAAGACAGAGTCTTGCTTCTGGGCTCAAGTGATCCTCCTGCCTCAGCCTCCTGAGTAGTTGGGACTATAAGCGTGTACCACCACATCCAGCTAATTTTTTCTATTTTTAGTAGAGACAGGGTTTCATTCTTGCTGAGGTTACTTTCGAACTCCTGACCTCAAGCTATTCTCCCACCTTGGCCTCCTAGAGTTCTAGGATTATAAGTGTAAGCCCCAGCACCCAGGCAAGATCTTCTTTTTTTTTTTTGAGACAGAGTCTCGGTTTGTTGCCAGGGCTAGAGAGATTGCAAGGGTGTCAGCTTAGCTCACAGCAACCCCAAACTCCCGGGCTCAAGTGATCCTCTTGCCTCAGCCTCCCGAGTAGCTGGGACTACAGGCATGAGCCACCCAGCTAATTTTCTGTTTCTATTTTTAGTTGACTGGCTAATTTTTTTTTAATTTTAGTAGAGTCAGGGTCTTGGTCTTGCTCAGGCTGATCTTGAACTCCTAACTTCAAGCAATCCTCCTGCCTTGGCCTCCCAGAGTGCTAGGATTACAGGTGTGAGCCACTGCGCCCAGCCAGGCAAGATCTTCTTAATCTTGATTTTTAAAATGGGGGTAAGGGGAAGGGAATCCTTATCCTCAGAGCTAGTACCTGATGAAGGGCCGAAGCAGTGCCAGAAATGCCTTCACATACCATGTAGCATGGACAACCACCAGAGCTCGAAGGTTTTTCCGGAGCCTGAAGAATGAAGAATATGAGATCATCCAATTGCTTCTTCCATCTTCATGATCAGGTGGAGCTATCTTCTGTATTGTAACTTCCTTCACTTCTCTAATTTCTAGATTACTCTATCATTAGGGTCTAATCCCCATTCCTTTATCTATAATCTCACCTCCACCCATTTTATTTAGTCCTCCATGATGCTCATTTTTAGAAAACTCTCTGTTCAGAATCCTTGGCCTGGGCTTTTCTGCTCCATTTCCCTCCTTTTCCCTGCCCTCACTTAAATTCCTTTTGCATGCTTCTCCTTGTCTCCATGACCAGGCCTATTATAAAATTCCAGGTAGAAGATGATCAGCAAGGAGGGAAAAAGGAAAAGAGAAGAGTGAGCAAAGGAAGATGGAGAAAACAAAGGGGAGATAAAAGGAACATGACAGGGAAAAGGCATATAGACCAGGGATGAAGACAGAGAAGACAATGGAGATGTGGAAAGGGAAATACATGGCAATACTAGGAGAAAAGGTAGAATGCCATCTATGTGCCAGGCAATATGCCACATCGATTTACATGATTTTCACAAACACCCAGCAGCAAAAGCATTATCATTGCTATTTTACAGATAAAGAAGCTGAGGCCCAGAAAGCTTAAGTGACTTGTCCAAAATCATACAACTAGTAGGTGGTAATGGCAAGATTTGAAACTAGATTTCTCTAACTCCAAGAGAGGACAGAAGGCTGGAGAGGCTTAGAAAGGGGTGTAAAGGGACAGAGAAAAGAGAAAGGGACTAAATGGAAGAAGAAAGAACGAAAAGATGGAAAGAAAAAGATAGAGAGTTGTAGCTCTCTTGTCCTAGGGTCTCACCGCCGATCCAGTGTATGGTAACATTGGCGTATCCAGCTCAGAGGTGGAACTTGGGCCCTGCTTGTACCTCCACTCAAATGAACAAGCATATAATTTTCAGCTACCAGCAGTTCCAGAGTTCCCACCATATACCTAGAGGGATGAAAGTGCAGGGAAGGTATGTGCTGGGGTTGCAAGAAGTGAAAGGAACATTACTGCAGATTCTCTAATCAGCTACTGATCCTGGAAGGCGTTCTTTTTTACTTTTCCCTCCCCATACCCTCCCTATATCCCTTCAGGCCTTCCAACTCACTTAAACAAGTGTTCCATGACATAGGTGTAGTTGGGGATGCTGCTCCTGGGTAGATAACAGGAAGCAAAGAGGATGACAGCATTGAGGCCATCGCCATGGTAACCTGCAAAAGATAAAGGGAAAATTCATTCAGTCAACAAATATGTATTGACAGACAGCACATCTATTTAAGTTGAGAGACTCTGGATCGCCTTCCTTCCCCACCCTCCCATATCCAAACAAAAGGGAGAGACTCTGAGGATCTCTGGAAGTTACAGGAAGAATTTTGAACCTAATAATTGTGTCTCCTGGTATTCAACCCTCCACTGCTAAATTTGACTGGCTTTAAAAAAAATAAATAAATAAATGAGTCTCTAGCTTAGGCATTTAATTCAAGAAGCCAAAGTTCTTACCCCTTCACTTATGCTAGCCTTTACCTCCATGAGACAGGACTTTCTTATAGGGGTCAATGACAGTCATGTCCACTCGCTGCTCCCTCTGTCCTGTTCGGAACACCCTCCAGCGACGACCATCTTCTCCAGCCACATCCCACATACAACCCTGTCCCAGCCTTTCAGCTGCCTCACTGGCCCCCAGACCCTCTGTCTGGGGCAGCTCATCTAAAAGAGAAGGATGGGCAAGGATCATCAATGCGACAGATTTCCTACCTTCAGTTTTTTGTAACTTCCCCAGATTCCTAGAGTTAATTAATCTTTCATTCCTCAAATTTTCCCTTGACTCTTTAGCTCTAATTTTTCCAATCAGCCCAATCCCCTGCTGGTTTCTTTCTCGTGTTCATTATCCTATTCATTATCCTAACCTTTCCACTCAACGATGGCCTTGGGCTGACCTATATATAGGAAGTCTATGGCCCTTGCCAGTATCAGCTTTCTTTTCTTTTTCTTTTTTTGAGATTCTCTATTTCTTTCTACATGATTTTTCCTAGGTAAGCTCATCTATTCCTATGTCTTCAATCACCACCAGTAAAGTGATGGCTCCCCCAAATTTGCCTTTCTAACCTAAGGTTCAGTTCTAACTCCAGATCCATAATCCCTAAATGCCAAGAGTGGACATTTCCACTTTGCATCTCCTTGTCATCAACAAGTCATCAGATCCAAAATGGAACTCAAAATCATTCTCTTTTTACTCTCTCCCATATTTCCTATCTTGATAACTGACCCTATCCATCTATCTCTATTATATCCTTAAAAGAAATTTTTTTTTTTGATATGGACTCTCATTATGTTGCCCAGGCTGGTCTCAAACTCCTGGCTGGCCTCAAGGGATCCTCCTGCCTCAGCTTCCCAAGTAGCTGGGATTATAGGGTATCTCTATTATATTCTCTTATTACCCTTTCCACTACTACTGTCCTAGTTTGGGTTCTTGGCATTTCTCACTTGGCCTTAGTACTAGCCTCCTAACTGCTCTCCCTGCCTCTGTTTGTTTTTCTCTAATCCATCTTCTACACCACTGCTAGAGCAAGCCTTTTCTTTTCTCTACCTTTTCACTCAAATGATAATGTACTATACCTACCATTCTGCATGATCTTTCCATAGCAATCAAGAGATCTGCCTTATCTTTAAAAAGTTGCACAGAATGTAGTATTCAATTGGATGGATGTACCATAATAGAATTAATACCTTACTGATGGATCTTTAGGTTGTTTCCAATTTTTTCAGTCATTAAATTTGATGTTATTCCCTTGATTAATACCTTTCCATGACTCCCCATTGCCTACGAGATAAAATTTAAACTCCTTGTTTAGTGTGGCAGCAAGGGCCTCCATGGTCTGACCTTTGCCAGAACTCTCTTTTTTTTGAGACAGTCTCACTCTGTTGCCTGGGCTAGAGTGCCATGGCATCAGCCTAGCTCACAGCAACCTCAAACTCCTTGGGCTCAAGCAATCCTCTGCCTCAGCCTCCCGAGTAGCTGAGGACCACAGGCATGTGCCACCATGCCCGGCTAATTTTTTCCTATATATTTTTAGTTGTCCAATTAATTTCTTTCTATTTTTAGTAGAGACAGGGTCTTGTTCTTGCTCAGGCTGGTTTCGAACTCTTGACCTTGAGCTATCCTCCTGCCTCGGTCTCCCAGAGTGAGATTACAGGCATAAGCCACCACACTTTTTTTTATTTTTTGACAATCTGATTTTGCCTTATTTCCTACTTTTTATTTTTTGACAATCTGATTTTGCCTTATTGAATACTATCCCAAATCCAATATTTACAGATTTAAAATTAAACAATTTATAAGACTACCATGTGGAACATTTTATTATTTTTTTTATTTTATTTTTTTTCCTGGCAATAGACTGATGGAGGGTAACTATTCTTTTTTTTTTTTTTTTTTTTTTTTTTTTTTGAGACAGAGTCTCACTTTGTTGCCCAGGCTAGAGTGAGTGCCATGGTGTCAGCCTAGCTCACAGCAACCTCAAACTCCTGGGCTCAAGCGATCCTCCTGCCTCAGCCTCCCAAGTAGCTGGACTACAGGCATGCGCCACCATGCCGGCTAATTTTTTCTATATATATTAGTTGGCCATTAATTCTTTGTATTTATAATAGAGACGGGTCTCGCTCTTGCTCAGGCTGGTTCGAACTCCTGACCTCGAGCAATCCGCCGCCTCAGCTCCAGAGAGCTAGGATTACAGGCGTGAGCCACCGCGCCCGGCTCATGTGGAACATTTTAAAAAGTTATTCTGAAACACTCAATGAAAATCACCAATTCATATGTGTTACAATAATTAATTCATAATTTTTCAGCCCATATCCATGGTGGCTCATTTTATTAAAAACTATATTCAAGAAGAGATAAATCTGAGGAAATATAAAAAAATTTAAAAAAGTATATCCATATCTAGTCACAATCTTCCAGATTTTGTATGTGGTCAATAGTTGATCATCTTTCAAAGGGCATCATAGGCTGGGCGTGGTGGCTCACACCTATAATCCTAGCACTCTGGGAGGCTAAGGCAGGCGGATCACTCAAGGTCAGGAGTTCGAAACCAGCCTGAGCAAGAGTGAGACCCTGTCTCTACTAAAAATAAAAAGAAATTAATTGGCCAATTAAAAATATAGAGAAAAAATTAGCTGGGCATGGTGACACATGCCTATAGTCCCAGCTACCTGGGAGGCTGAGGCAGAAGGATTGCTTGAGCCCAGGAGTTTGAGGTTGCTGTGAGCTAGGCTGACGCCATGGCACTCTAGCCTGGACAACAAAGTGAGAGTCTGCCTCAAAAAATAAACAAAAAAAACAACAAAGGGGGCCGGGCGCGGTGGCTCACGCCTGTAATCCTAGCACTCTGGAAGGCCGAGGCGGGCGGATCGCTTGAGGTTTGGAGTTCAAAACCATCCTGAGCGAGACCCCGTCTCTACTAAAAATAGAAATTAATTGACCAACTAAAAATATATATACAAAAAATTAGCAAGGCATGGTGGTGCATGCCTGTAGTCCCAGCTACTTGGGAGGCTTGAGGCAGGAGGATTGCTTAAGCCCAGGAGTTTGAGGTTGCTGTGAGCTAGGCTGACGCCAGGGCACTCACTCTAGCCAGGGCAACAAAAGTGAGACTCTGTCTCAAAAAAAAAAACAAAGGGCATCATAGCACTTCCATTTTTCTGGGATATAGAATGGCTCAAAAAGGTGAGGAAATGATGTGCCATATCCACACACTCTTTTTTTTTTGATACAGAGTCTCACTCTGTTGCCCGGGCTAGAGTGCCGTCTCAGCCTCCCCGATAGCTGGGACTACAGGCATGTGCCAGCATGCCCAGCTAATTTTTTCTATATATTTTTAGTTGGCCAATTAATTTCTTCCTATTTTTAGTAGAGACAGGGTCTTGCTCTTGCTCAAGGCTAGTTTCGAACTCCTGAGCTCAAATGATCCTGCCGCCTCTGCCTCCCATGTGCTAGGATTATAGGCACAAGCCACCTTGCTGGCCCATGTACTCTTGACATAGGAGCCTCTAGGTTCAAGAAAAATTCTGCCTAAGGCCAGGCATGGTGGCTCACGCCTGTAATCCTAGTACTCTGGGAGGCCAAGGTGGGAGGATTGCTTGAGCTCAGGAGTTCGAGACCAGCCTGAGCAAAAGCGAGACAGACCCTCTCTTTAATAAATATAGAAAAATTAACTGGGCATTGTGGTGGCACGTGCCTGTAGTCCCAGCTCGGGAGGCTGAGGCAGGAGGATCGCTTGAGCCCAGGAGTTTGAGATTGCTGTGAGCTAGGCTGATGCCACGCCACTCTACTCAGAGCAAGGGAGTGAGACTCTGTCTCAAAAAAGGGAAAGAAGAAACATTCTTTCTGAACTGCAGAGCTGATCTCCGATGCAAGGCCACCTGTCAAGGGAACCTCATGACTGATTAGCAGTCACCCTGTTTTGATCACAGACAACAAATGATATCCACATCCCAAGGTGTTATAGTCCTCAGATCAATGACTTCACGAGACACTCCATGCTTTTCTTTTGCCATGGAAGCCACCTCCCAGATCCCATGAACCTAAGTGCTGCTGGCAACTAAAGTAACATCACTCCCTTCCTGTATGACTTCAGCCTAGGACAGTGGAATTCTACAGTTCTGTTGGAACCTGTTCCACTGCTGCCCTGTAAAATATTTTAGGTTCAAAAAATATATAAGGATTTTTAACCTTTATGCATGACAAAAGAAGTTCCATGGCCTGGAAAAGACTTCTGGGTATAACCATCTGATCAAAAGCAGAGAAAATATAATCTGCAAACTGAATTTCTGCAATGGCAGTAGCACCAGTGATTACAATTCCAATTCCAAATTCAATAATTCCTTGTTCACACACTGCAGTATTAAAAACTCTATCTTTTCCACATTTGTCTTACAAGCCAACAATGCATCTAAAGACTCCACCAAAGGCAACATCTTCACCAAATATTACTGCAGTAGGATCTTTAGCCAATGTGTTATCTAAGGCACTTGTTACTGACTGGAAAAGATTCATTTGCTGAGTGTGACTGTACTCCTGGGGCTCTGAGTCAGGCTGGAGAATGAAGTGAGCCACCTGCTGCCTCTGGGCTGCATCCTGGCCAGCCCTGTGCCACGCGTGGAGGTGCCACGCGTGGAGGTGCCACGCGTGGAGGTGCCACGCGTGGAGGTGCCACGCGTGGAGCTGTCATGCGTGGAGCCAGAGCAGCTGGCTTGCAGTCGCAGCCCTTCATGTTCAAATGGTCATGCTTTATCCTTTGCATTCCCCAAGGTGCCATGCTATTGCTTGAGTTGCTTCTTCCACCTAGAAAGCCCTCTCTCCAACTACCTGATAAATATCAACTTCAGCTTTCAACTCTCAACTCAGAATCACCTCCTCTGTAAAGTCTTTCCTAACATCTCTCAGGCAGAACTGTGCTTTTCCTTCTCCCTGCCTATCCTGTCCCCTATACACATGTAGATCATGACCTTTAACTGTAATTATTTGTATGCATGCTGATTTCCTACTAAACAGAGAATTCCCTGAGAGTAGGGCCTCTTATTCATCTTTATAACCCCAGTCCTGGCTCAATGATAGCATGTAACAGGCACTCAATAAAGTTTTCCTTAATAACCTTAATAAACAAGGGACTCCTCCCCCTCTACTGACTACTCTCACATTGGATCTGTAAGCTCTACTTTTCTGTTCTGAGGAAATTAGTTTTGCTGGCCTTACCTCTTGGTCCCCACCTTATCAGTTCTAACTTCAGTCCCATTAAATCCATCCTGAGCTTCTTTTAACACTGGCCTCTACTTCTACCAGCTCTGGATCCTCAGGTTTGATTCCCACCTTCCCATTCAAATTCATGTCCACTGTCCAGCTGCTCCGAGTCTGAAGGTGTCTCCAATTCATCTACCTCCAGGTCAGAACTGCCATCAGGAGACGAAGGTGCAGAGTGGGTAGGAGAAGCTTCATTATCTCCAGGCCCCTCAGTCAGATTCAGCCACGACTCTGGGGCAGAGAGACGCTTACGCATGGGGCGCTGGCCACATAGGGCTAAAGTGTTGGGGGTACCTGGGGATGGAGAAAGGGGAAATAAAGAAAGAAATATATGTGTGTTGAGGGGCTGGGGGTGGTTAGAATTCCTTTGTGTGGAAGTGAGAATATGGGGTAAACTCTGAAGAAGGAAGGACCAACGCAGGGGACATTTGGAAAAGGGGGAAATGGAACTGTGAAAGGATAGTGGTGGTGTAGCCCTTCACTGGACTAGAATCAAGAACTTGAGGGCTAGTTTCTCCTTTACCCACCTCCTTTAGGGTCTTCAGGATCTTCAGAAGGACCAACCTCCTCAGGAAGCAATCTGGACGGGAAAAGATCAACACGTTGACTGCCATGTGAGTTGTGTTTAACTTAAGCTAGTTTTGACCCAGGGCTTCATGAATCAAAACCCTATAGTTGGTTCCTGTTTGTGAAAATCTTGGTTGTTGATGTTCTTATTGTTACAATTAATATTGACAATTCAATTCTAAAAATGTGGATGGCGTTGCATATAACTAATGCACAGAAAACAATAAAAAATAATAAGTTAGAAAGGATCATTTTGGTGGCCGGGCACGGTGGCTCAGCCTGTAATCCTAGCACT